ACAGGTCGGGGTTTCTGTACTTCCCTGTAACACGTCGGGGTTTCTGTACTTCCCTGTGTACACGTCGGCGTTTCTGTACTTCCCCGTGTGACACGTCCGTGTTTCTGCAGTTCCAGTGTTTCTGCACATCACTGGTATGTCTATCTTGCTAGCAGAAACCCCCCCTCCCCTGGCTTTGGTGAAGCAAGCTACCACATAGGGCACGCCCACCTGCAAGACAGAGGGGGGCTCCAGCCAAGAACCAGCGCGTGATCAACAGCCTCAGCCAATGGCCTTGAGGAACTGAACCTGCCAGCAGTTCCACAGAGAACACGGAAAGGGATTGTTCCCCAATCAAGCTTCCAATTCCAACAGTGTCAAAGACCCCAAGGCAGAGAATGCAGATAGAAGTGGCCTGGACTCTTGAGTCACAGAGACTGAGGCAACAAGTTAGGTTCTTAGCCACTAAAATTCAAGGTAACCATAACACCAATAGGTGATTAATACATTATGGAATCATTGTGGCTTTGGATGAGCAGCAGATTAGCTCTAAGGAAGGTAGAAAGAGATCCATTCCCAAAGAGACTAATACAGAGTCTGGCAGCAGCCCTCAGGGTCTGTTGTGAAGAATGCTGAAAGACGTCCCCTCATGCTGCTGTTGTGAAGCAATAGAATTCTGTGCTAGAAAGTCCATTTTGTCCTCCAGTGGGTCAAGGACTGTTGGGTAGAAAGGGGTTGTGAAGGTGAGGGAGTGGCCCCTCCCATTCTTTTCTTCTTTTCCTCCTCCCAATTCTGAGTTTTGATTCCTCCCCAAAGTAGTTTCCTTTATTCTCAAATACTGTGTGGCCATGCTGGCCACCTCTCAGGTGATTGCTGTGGAACCTTTTGTTCTGCTAATGTCAAGAAACCAGCATCCTAGAGAGTTTTCTGGGGGTGGGGAAGGCTCTTCCTTTCCCTCACAGTGCCTGTACAAGTAAAGGTATCTCATTTTCAAGTTAAGAATAGGTATAGTGTCATTGCCAGAGAGAGCAACATGCCACCATAAAAGCTAGTTCCTGGCCTCTGAGCTGGCCCCAAAGCAGTACAATCTATGGACACACTTCACATAGTGACTATGTGACTCTATGGACACACACCTCACACAATGACTGTGCAGATCTACAGACACACACCTCACACAATGACTGCAGCTCTGTGGACACACACCTCACACAGTGACTGTGCGGCTCTATGGACACACACCACACACAATGACTATGCAGGTCTATGGACACCCCACACAGTGACTATGCAGCTCTGTGGACACACACCTCACACAGTGACTGTGCAACTCTGTGGACACACACTTCACACAGTGACTATGCAGGTCTGTGGACACACACTTCACACAGTGACTATGCAGGTCTGTGGACACACACCCCACACAATGACTATGCAGGTCTATGGACACACACCACACACAATGACTATGCAGGTCTATGGACAGACACCACATACAATGACTATGCAGGTCTATGGGGACACACACCCCACACAATGACTATGCAGGTCTATGGACACATACCTCACACAGTGACTGTGCACAAAATGATTATGCAGCTGTATGGACACCCCACACAGTGACTATGCAGGTCTATGGACACACACTCCACACAATGACTATGCAGGTCTGTGGACACACACCTCACACAGTGATTTGCAGCTCTTTGAAAACACACCTCACACAATGACTCTTTTGTGAAACATTCAAGTCAGTATTCTTTAAGAACAGAAGTTACCGGGCGGCGGCGGCGGCGGCGGCGGCGGCGGCGGCGGCGGCGG